GACAACTGCAAAATGAAGTCCCAGCCTGGGGAAAACCACTCCATAATAAAAGCAGTCAATACCCAGGTTGGGTATTGGAAAGTTGGAACTGTAGAAAAGAGGGTGAAGAACAGCTAATGCTCATGAAGCTCTTTGGTGGTCACAAACCCAATTAAAAGGTTGTGTTAAGAATGCATGTCAATATTGTGCTAATTCTGGAGGAATGCTCATGCTGCTAAGCTTTATGCTATCACTCTTCTTAATGAAACTACACTTTGAATTGAAAACAGACATATGCAAAATCACATCATTGCACTGCAAACATCCACACACTAAAAAACACTTAAAATGCATGATATGCGATATTCGTTGTCAAAGTGCATTAATATTTACAGACACCATTTGCAAATAATCTCAAATTCTGAGTCTGCTTTACCATATAAGGTAGTCCTTCCTATAATATGTTTTGCTGCTTAAAAATTCTCTCCCTTCTAAATAGTGTAAATCTTAAGAAAACTGCTAATCAGATCAATGATCTGATATTTGGACAGGACAGATGCTTTCTAACAGCAAGCTGAAATTTGAGTTTCAAATCACCGATTGAATGACTGATTTTAATACACTGAAATCCAAAGGCACCATATATATGGTCATAGCATTTTTTGCCTTGAAATTAAACCCAGAGATTCTGAAATTACTTGAAATTCTTTCTATTCTCCTTTTTTTCCTCTTTATCCCATCTTCTGGATCACCAAAACATATTAGCTTGGCCTCAGGTTGATTATGGTCATGAATTTTCTCGTGATCCAGTAGTAAGTGTGAGCTGGCTTTCGTGTGTGGTCAAAAATTCATCAGATAGGTGAATTTCAAAGACTGATTCTATAAGTGGCAGATGGTCGTGTTAATTTGTTTAAATACATTATTTTCTGCTTATCAAAAGTAGCCTTTCCTTGTAACTTCATGACCCATAATCATAGTGGCTGTCACATATTTGAAATAGTTGTATGGTTAGCTCGTATCTCCTGTTTTGACCCTGAACCAGAGCTCTCCTGAAGAGAGTCAGAAACACCACAACCCTTCAACACATCAGGAGGAACCCAAGGGCCTCCTTATTCTTCCTCCATTATCCGTATTGTAGAAGTATATTTGTCCCTTCTTCACTGTTTCTCCTTCGAGCAGTTGTGTGCTGTACAGCGTACACACACCAGCTACCCTGTGTTTATGGGAAATGTCAGAACCCCTACACAAGTACACTTGGGGTTTGAATGAGCAGTAAATTGAATGCATTCTGGAACAGTCAGGTTTGCTATGCATGTACAAACCATCTGTATGGCTCTTTCACAAAGGGTTCAAGGCTGCTCAGAAGTATCATGCTTGCTGCGACACACAAAAACCTGATATGTACATGGGCAAATGACAAGTCTGAGATTCCTAAGGATCCAGTAGTTAAGCCAAACTGCTTGATATCTGAAAACATTGGACAAGTATGAAGAATCCTTTAACTTTAGCCAGAATCCTAAAGTCAAAGACAAGTATGTTCAAGGGGCTACTTGGACATCTACTTGGTAATCTTTGCTCTTTGACCAAGTTCTGCTTTAGCACTGAGCTTCAGTCTTTCTTGTTTTATTCAGTCTTTTTTCTTTTTTGTCTGCTAGAAGGGTGGGGACACATTTTAGTATGGGGGTTTTTGTAATCCCTGAGGGGAAGTCTTTATAGGAGGAAATATTCAAAATGATAGTATTACTGTAATTGAAAACACTACCAGAAATAAATGAAAAATGATTCCAAATTTGCTGGACCAATAGTGGCATGTCAGATCAAGTTCAGATAATTTCAGAACTCAGCAGATTAAATTTCTGTACAACTGAGGCTTGGACATTTTTGAAAATCATAATTTGGGGAATATTTTACTGAGCAAACATAATCCTATTTCCCCTGAATTTCTACCCTAAAGCTTTTATCTTTCTTGCCTCTACTTACTACCAACATGTAATACTAGTGATATTTAATTTGAACTACTTAAAGCAGCTTTACTGGGATGGCAGCCAACTTCAAAGAAAGCTTGTGTGACCCCAACAAATGCACAGGGCCGAGAGATGATATTTTCCCTGAAGATTAACCTTTTCCTGTGGATGATACTGTATGGCAGACAGCAGGGAAAAACTTGCGGATGCTGATTCATAAACCTATAATAAAAATGCAGTGTATTGTAGTTTCAGATATGTAGAAAAGGTATTTCTTGCAATTTGAGTATTTCTGCACTGTGTCGGGGTTTTTTTGATCCAATTGATCACAAGATAAAGAAGTTGTCTAAGGAATTGCTCCAACTTGTTTCTCAGTCCCATTTTCTAGGAAGAAGGAAGTCAGATTTAAGGTTGTGTAATAGTAACAATGTTGTAAAAAAATGTTGTTGAATTTAAGTGCTTCGGAAAATGTCAGTTTTGAAAGTTAAAACTGAAGTGTCTTCTCTACATTTAGACCAGGAACAGCATCTTAAGTAGAAATATAAAATTCCCCTAGCACCCTTCTAATATAACCCTACATAGAAACTTTCCCAAGAGTGAGAATTCTGTTCTTTTTTTTTTTTTTTTTTTAATTTCTGTAAACTACTGGCCCCATGTACCTTCCAAAATGGGGGTGTCAGCAGAAGTGGGGAGGGCAACAATATTTTTAAGACATGCCGTGTAATTCAGCATAACCAGCACAACTGTGGTGGCTGTGGCAGGACCAGCTGGGAGGAAATTTCAGACTTTTAAACTTCTTAGGCCAGCTCTGCATCCTAAGCCAAGATCTTGTGGAACATCTTTAGCTTGATATGTCAGAAATAATTAGTTGGGGAGAGGATGCTGGGAACTGAGAGTGATATTGCTCAGTTTGTGCAAAGTAAGTTCTTGATGTGTAAATATTAGTGGAGTTGTGTGTTACACAGTTTTTAAAACTGGAAAGAATAAGTAAGAAGATAATGTGGAATGTAGGGAATCGTAACCTTGCATACTTGAGAGTGTGGGAAGTGTTGGGAGTTGTACAGCCTTAGGTCATAAATTCTGGACAATATTGGGTAGTTTGAAGCAAAGTTCTAAGTGATCTTAAGTACTAAGCAGGTAAGACCTACCAATTTTTAGGAATAATAGAAAGTATGGGGAAGACACTCCATAAGCTATCTGTACACAATCTCTTTTTCATTTTTAGGTTTATTTAAACTGAAATATGGATTATTGAGAAGCACCTGTACACCAGCAAATACTATCCCCTCATGTAAATATTCTGAAATTAAATTTAATATGTATGTTTATGTGCATAAAAATGTGAACAGGTACAGAATTATAAAAGTGATCTCATATGAAGACAAAGTCTTCTAGACTAATATATTCTCAGACATAATTTAAATTACTTCTTCATATCACTCTTAAGTGATTCTGAATAAATTCTTTTTTCATCACTCTATTAAAATATAATTGCTTTAAAAAAAAAGAGTGTGTGTGGGAAATTTAATCATGGATCAATAACAGCATTTTGGATTTTTTTTTTCTCTGACTGATGCATATACCAGTAATCCTCTTTTCACATTAAGATGTCTTCTTAATGTGAAATTCTTAGCTGAGTTTCTGGGTTTTTTGGCAGTGTGAACAATTTGTCTATTTTTTTTCCTGCTTGAAGATGAAAAAGCTATAAATCCAAAGATGAAGTTTAATATGAGTTTGCACATTGCAGATGCCCTGTTTTCTAAGCAGTTGTGTGAAAATTCAAGCATTTCATTAGATGGACTTGTTTAACTGGGAAGAGCCTTCATCTTTGTGGGCAAGTAAAATTGATAAAAGGAGTACAGAAGAAATATGCAGCTCAGAGGTCCCTGAAGACCTTTAGGATTTAACCTTCATTTGCTTTTTAATCTTTGCATTCTTTATTATTCTGTGGAAGCATGTGGTTCAGTTTTTCAAGTTGGCAGGTGGCAGCAATCCCATAATTATATCTTGGTTCTATCCTGCCAAGGCACAAAGGAGAACCATGGTAATCCACTCCAGTGTATTTTCAGTAGTCACTGCATATTGCTTGTGCTTTTAGTATAAAATCCTATGTAAATCTCACTTCTAGTAATACAATTCTTAAAGTTATATGTATTAAAAAAATTGTTTTAACTTTTGAAGAAGGTAACATAAAATCATTATACTTCATATGCCACTCTGCCATTGAGAGCAAAAAAATTGTCTAATGATCATGAAAAATAAATGTTCCTGTCCAGGCTGCCTTTTTTTTTTTTCTATTTTTTTGCCAAGGCTTAGCTATTTAAGATATGTAAATTATTTAACCTACACTTGTCCTTAAAACATGATTTTCACCATTTATGTTCACCTTATATCAGCTTTTAAAATGAAAATATTTGCAATGATATTTATTTTTGCTGCCATCTGTGCTCCAAAACTTCTATTTATTAGTATTTATATTCCATTTAGATATAACATGATTTATCTGTTCCCTCAGTTTAGTAAACATTTAGGTAGTAATTCTGTAGTTATTTATGACTGAACTTGAGGCTATTTTCAAGCGCTTTAAGACCTTTATTATTTTTTCCTCTTGGAGTGGCATAAAAAGGCCTTAAGTCAAAATCCAGTATATCTACAGAAAGCCAGAGTAATTACCTTAAGAAGATAGAATGTAATAACGCTGTCAGACCAGGAAATCTCTCCTCTGCCCCAGCCTCCAGGACAGCAAAACAAATGAAAGAGAGTGTGGACCTGAAAAGGAGATCAAAAAGTTTTCTTCTGGCTCTGACTGTATTAACCTGGGTCATCACTGGGGTTCACAGGTACATTCCTGTTCACTACCCACAATGGTTCTTCTGCCTGCATAGGAAGAATGAGTTTGGGATTCACTGCTATTGGATGCAAGTGGAACATAAATAAATAAATAGTGTTCATCTAAGAGATTGTGGTATTGCATACAGAAAGTGATGTCTGCTATGTAGGCTATTGTGCTATCCAGCAGATTGAAGAGGGTAACTTTTCAAGGAAAATGTGTCCAACATGTAGAGGATATGTCAGCATTAACATAACAATGAGCAACTTTGTCCACTTCACACTAGCAGCAGTGTTTCATACCTCTTTGTGAAAAACATCAAGTATATGATGACATTTGAGATCTGAGTTTATGGATGACAGATACATTCCAAAAAGGTGATAATGACAAAATAATTATTCATCTTCAATGCCTATTTTTATGTGCACTTTTTCCTGAAAGGTTTTGTAGCATCCCAAATGAATATGTTTCTGTAGCATGCTGCCCGTTCATATTAATGTTTGAGAGAGATATCAATGAATTTATTCATGAGAACATATGTGTCAATTCTTCAGACAGTAAAATAAGCAAGCAATGATGTTGTGGTTATCACGATTAAGCATCACCTCTGAAAATTCTTTCCTTTCAGTGCTGATATTTGCCCTGTGTTTATGCTGGAGATAGTCAGTTGTAAAGACTAGATTGGAAGAAAATTCTTTGATGTTTTAAAAAGTAGGAAATAATTTTTTTACCTATCTGAATGTCAGTTTACCGTGAGTAAATTAAAATGTTCCGGAACAGACACTGGCAATTATTGCCAATTGTATCTTGAAGAGTGTGCTCTGGTATTAGTATTCCTGGCAGGACTTTTTTTTTTCCTATGTTTGCAACATGTCGCTCTTGCTTCATTGCATGTGTTTTAAATTGGGGGAGATGAACATGATGATCAATTGGATGCAGTAAAAAGTCCTTCTGATATTACATTTCTTCATTTTTATCCTTTCTTAAGTATTTCCAAATCTCCTTTTCCTTTTGGTATATTTCGGTATTTTTGTTTATGGACTAAATTTCACTGTGAATGAATTTATTGATAAAGCTGCCTTAAATTCACTGGGACCAAGATGGACTTCTAAAAAGCAACTATTTTTGTAGACAGCCACGAGTACTGTCTCTGCCTAGGCCTTCGTGGTTCTGATATGTTTAGTTTCCAGGGCTGAATGTGCAGAACCTGTGCCTGAATGGGGATCTGCTGCATAACTGTACAAACCATGGTATGGCATAGGGCCATTATTAAATTTACTGTACGCTTCTGTGGTTCCTGGCAGTGCAGTCTCGTCTACTGAGAAGCCATTGAATTGAGCTCCTGAGGCAAAACATCCATTAAACTTTTTTCTTTAAAGAAAAAAAATCTTCTGCTAATTTGCTGCAATTTATGTTTGCTTTGTGATTCTGCAGCCAAGCCTGTCAATGAAACTGTGCTAATCATTAGGAAGTTAGTGCCTGTATGCATTCAGACATCCTACAACTACCACTCCATAACTAAAGCAATATTCTAAAAGAGTTTGGAGTTGTTTTTCCAGCGTGGTTAGAGGCTTACAAATCCTTGAGTATTTTGTTTGATGAAATAACTGTGCTTACAGTGTACTTTTTCCTTTTATATAGTGTAGTTTAATGATAGAAAATGGATGTCTCACAGATAAAATTGCATACTGCATGCTATTGTGTCCTGTCTCTAAAACTTAAGCCCTGTAATCTTTCAAAAATTGATCATTAGTTGCTTATCTTCTATAATGTTACTGTTGACTAAAAATTTGGAAAACAGTTAAATTGAAAGAAAAAAAGACTAGGAGGCAGTAGGTAGCAGTTTGTGGGAAGACCATTAGAAATAGAGAGTGGGTAGGAGAAGCATTTTGTATAAAAGGTTTCAAGACTCCAGAAATCCAAAATGAGAAAAGAACTATTTAACCATTTCAAAAATACTGAGTCAATTTTTTTCCCCTTTGGAAGATATACAAAACTCTGTTGATCCTCTGTGAACCTTGTCATCTCATGCAAAAAGCTGCAGCTCCATTCAAATTTTGAGTAAGCAAATTCTATTCCGTTGTACTCCTTCATTCTTGAAATCTGTGTCTGCGTTGCTCATCTGAGAAGCTTAATACTATAAAATTAATACAAAACTACTCCAATTGTCATTTTGGGGAGAGTGAACAACTGAAGAGGGTGGTGCTTTCTACTGATATTTTAGTATTAGTTTGAAAATAGGTAAATTTCCACATCAGACAACCATGTAAGTGCAGGGATGAGTTTATATCTGTCACATGCAGCAGTTTATTCAGATAGCCAAGAATTTTCAGGTGACTTAAATGGTCAAATTCATATCTGTTTCTAGGATTTGGTCTGATGTTTGTAATTGCAATAGTGTACTATCATGTGCACTGATAGTAACAGTAACAGTTACTTTCCCTAATTGTTTCTGAATCCTAGAAAGATGTTGAGAATAGCTTGTGCTATCTGAGGCCAGGACAGTTTACTTTATTACCAACCAATTCTTTTAGCTCGCTAAGCCATTTTAGACTCTCTCCTAACATGGTCGATTTTGTGTTATTCTGATTTTTTTTCTCATTTTGATCTTAGTGTCATGATTAGATCAGAGGTTTTACCATGCTAAGATAAACCCATGATCCAACTCACTCAATTTTCACTTTTTGTGAGATACCAGGTGCTTCTGGTGAGCACTTGAAAGCTGAATGACTGAGCTTACCTTTAGGAAATTTTGAAATTTAAAACCTCTTTTTACATTTATTGCTGGCCAAGCTTTTGTTTCTTAAGCAGTGATATTCCTAAAGAGCGATATGAAAGAGAAGGTTATTCTAATTTCACATTTTAGTGAGGTCCTGGGTGGAGGAGCACTGCTGTGTTTTATGGTCTTATCAGAATAATGCCAGATCTTCACATTGCTTAATCCCTGTTTAAAACTTTCAACAGTCCTGAGTTTCTAGTATACAAAAGATTGATGCATTAGCTACAAAAGTTCTGGATATTTTAATTAAATGCCATTTATCTTAAACATTTTAGCATTTAGTAGTATTGACTCTGTGCTGAAATTTCATTTTGCTTACAATTCAGTAGCTATGATTATCAGGGCACAATTGCAGCCTTAGTGCTCTCTGGTAAGGATGGGAAAATTGCTTAGACTGAAATGATTTGCAAATTTCTGCACATCAAGGGGTTGCCTGCCAAGATTCTGCTTTTCACAAATGTGAATCTCTCACAGTGGGAACACACATGGGCAATTGCTCTCCAAGAGATCCTTTATTCTCAAATTTGCTTTCCCTGGCTTGAAGCAGTTGCATGTTAGTTCCAGGTGCCTGTTGTGGACAGCTACTTCTGACCATCCAGACCATAATTTTAGGTAATTTTGCATCCTTATGGAACTTGTTAAAAAGCCATTTCAGAGGGACATTCCGTGCCTTCCAGGTAGGACACCTTGCTGAGCTGGTTAGGAAGAACATGTTTGTTTATATCTCTAAAAGATAGACTGGAAACAGCTGAAAGACCAAAACAGTGGGATGCTGGGAGAGGAACAAAGAGAAGACTATCTGGTCTCCCTACCTGGAGACAAGTGACTTTCAGGGAGATCAAAGTATTCTTCTGCCTCAGACAGCTCTCTGTAAACTGAAGGGAGAACATAAATTAAAAAGTGCAGACATGAGCTCTGATGTGAGGTTACTGAAATCAGCCTTTAGCCTTTGTAATTTAATCTCACAACCTGTGGAGCACAGTTTCCCATGGCTGCATTCACATGAGAGAAAGAATAACTGATTTTTCTTTCTTTAATCTTTCCCTTCTTCCACTTACTTTAAAAAAAGAAGCAATTAGACAAACTGAACAAACCCACACACACTCTCTTGTCTTTATTACCATTATCTTTTGGACCTAAATGTTAAACTTTGAGCTAATAAATTTTAGAACATCCTAGGGAAAAATAAAAGAGAAAATGCCTACTTTTAGGAGAGTTTTCCTTATTGGTTAATGGTCTTTCTTAGGAGGCATCAACAAAGACACTCACTCCAAGTCACTGCCCAATAAGGAGCCAATTTCCCTATCTTAGAAGTTGCCACAGAAGGCATGTTTTACAAAAGACAGTAAACGAGGTTCAATGATCATATCATCACTCCTGATCGTATGAATACTAAAATAATGTGGTTTGTTCCTGTGGAGTCTCATAGCACTCCATAGGGCAGCACTTGTTGATACTGTATCTTCTAATTTCATTGCTATTTCTTCTTGGGTTTGGAACTCAATAAGAATTAACCATCTCAGTGTGTCTTCTTAGTACAAATCTTAATGTAGTATCTTTTTCAGACCACCCTGCAGAAAACGTGAAGTAGAGAGTGACTCCTAAGTAGCAGATGAAAAAGAAATAATGAGTGTATTTTAAGGGCTGGTATAACAAACTAGAGAACACAGTGAAAGTTGAGGCAGCCTGACATGCACAAAGCTTTCTTTATTCCAGGGATGTGTGGCTGATGACATACAACTCCATCCATGTTGCCTGAAGAAAAAAACAAGCAGAGAGATCAAGGAAAGTTATCTAGTGGCCAGTAGGAAAGATAAGTGATAGGTCCTCCCAGGTGAGAATCCTGTCCTGGGTGTCCTGTTCCACACAGCAGGGAATCACATAATGTTGACAACTGTGACCACACCATTTTTTTCCTCAGTGAGATGACACCTGTTACCAGTACCTGTCATCAATAGCTGTCATCAATACCATCATCAACCTTTTTCTTGCTGGTCTTTTTTTTGACAATACTGACATTTTGACTCTGATAGGAATTTGCTTAGAGTGCAAGTGTTGCATGATATTTGACTGTTCAGCCCTGTGCACACCTGTTTTTTGTAACATTCATCAAGTATTAGAATGACTGTTATTTACTTACCTCACTAATATGGACTCAACAGTCTGGAAGTTTGCAGGAGGATGTGGTGGTGGACATCTTAGGGCAGAGCTAGAAACTGAAGCTGCAGGGAAAGTGGGTGAGGAGAGAGGGGAGAAACAGAGGGATTTAGACATTGAAATGAATCACCATCTCAGGGATTTTGACAGAAAAATGGTTACAAATGCACAGCACAAGGCTGCAGGGATGTGCAGTTGGGAGACCAGAAGAAAGCCACAACCACAGCATAGCCCCAGGGTATGTAGGTGGAAAGCTGAAGAGAAAGGAAGGCTGAATGGGGCGCCTTCAGTGATACATGAGGTAC